GAAGTTTCTCAGACCACTTAGTAATAATGCAATATTCTGCAGGTTTTTGCAGTGGGTACTGTGGAATACACGTTCATGGTGGCCTCAATCAAAAGAATTTTCGCCCATGTAAATCTTAATTGTTTCAATGTAGATCACCTTCAGATTGCAAACTTTGGCTTTCTGCAGTAGAAGATACATACTTGACTGGGGAATGGGAAATGGCTGTACCTGCTCGCGCTTTGCCAAATGGAGTCTGTTAGGATCAGAATGGAAACGCATCTGTAGGGGTTTGCTCCATCACTCTCCTTAGTCTAGTCTCTAAGTCAGGGGAGAGCTGGTGATTCAAACCGATTCTGAACCAGCTTCAGAGTCAGAAATTACCAAGATGACAAAGAGAAAGGGTTATTTTTGTTTGGAAGGAGAAAAATGAAAAACATCTGGGCATATAGTCTTCAGATGTCAGCCAGAGATCTGGGAGGACCAGTGTGAACCCTGTTTTGTTGGTTGATAGATTTCATTAAGTTACTGTTTTCGGGAAAAATAGAGTGTTTTGCTTTTTTATATTTCCTAGGGTTTTTCCCCCAAACAGTCTCTTCTTGCTGAACATGTGAGATGTTCCTCATGTCTAGGGTTTCAAAGCTCAAATCTTTATGTCTAAACAACAGTGTCAGATGAGAGGGGAGGCAATTACTGTGCTGCAATTCATTTGTTGACTGGCAGCTATATCTCCCTGAAAACAAAGGCTTGAGACTCGAGCCTGATCCTGCAAATAACTGAAGTGCACTTAAAAATTTAAAGGCTAGACTGTAAGTAAGAAAGGTGCTTGGTGCATGAGACAGGATGTTTTTCTCAGTTTGTACTTGTACCCTGAAGGCATCAGGCATCCAATGGCAAAAATCTCACAAGTTTCTATTCGGCCCATCAGGCTTCTACTGGTGTAGATGTCTGTTAAGGCTTTAAACAATTTTTTATTTGTACATTTGGAAAGTGTAATAATGAAATGCTTAAATCTTCTTGGAAAAATGGAAGAGAGGAAATTTTGGGGAGAAGAGGGGTAAAACCTTGCAAATGCATCTGCATGGCCCAGGTTTGATAGGAGCCAGAAGCCAAGCTGGGGCTTGGGAGGCATCACTTCTGATTATGGCTCTGCTGTAATTTCCTAACATAGCCATGACGAAGTGATTTAATTTCTGTCTAATTACTTGCATGTAAAATATGGGGGAGAGCATTACTGGGGCTCACAGTATCATCTCTTGTGGTTGCACCAGGTGATGCTCCGGCACAAGAGCGGGCACGGGTGCGGAGAGAAGAGCTCAGAGCTGCGGTTTCACGGCACGTTGCGCCGTTGTATCTGAAATAACCGAGCTGGTCTGTGTGTTGCACTGCGCAGCCCCTTCGTAGGTTGACTCATGATCTTTGCAGCTGTAAGAAGAAACGATTAGCTGGCGCAATGAGGAGTGTTTATTTTCTCCGCTACACGTATGGTAATGGGCAGAGATTTCTCACTGCAAGAGCTGAAGTCGGGCTGCACCGTGCAGGGGCAGGGTATGGCTCCCTGCCTGCAAACATGCCTGGCCATGGCTGCCTCCACAGGGGGAACTTGCTGTTGGAATGTGATTTCACCTGTCTTGAAGTACAAATTGCTTTCTGGAGATGCCTTTATGTTTCTCTGTTGACATTGCTCAGTGCAGTTGCTCTCATAACTTAAATACTTCCAAGTGTTCCAGCTGATGCCAGGTGAATGTCAACCAAAACGCCAGTCTCGGTGCTGAGCAGTACTCAAAGCTCATAAGCGTTTTGCCCATCTTATCCCTTACTCACAAAGAGGCAGCAGGGTTAAATCAGTCAGGAGTGGGTGGGTGCTCAGGGTGGGATGTGTCCTCTACCAGCCCATTGTTAATGCTGGTAACCCCAGAGCCCCGTTTCCCCCACGGCCGCCAGTGCATCCATGCAGAGCAGGGGACGGTCACTTCCCCAGACAGGTCCCCATGTGGCTGCTGGCGCTGGAGGTGGTCAGCAGTGGGGGCAGTAATATGCTCTGCCTGCACATGGACTTTTCTGCCTCCTCCTATGGCTTGCCTGAGTCTAAGCAGGTGAAATCTGTCTGGTTTGCAAAGATTTGGGGGTAAGGGAAGATCCCTGAGGTGCAGTGTAGGGAGATGATGCTTAAAGGGAGCATAAGTTTGCTTTCAGCCTTTTTTGCCTCCTTTACTCCCCCAAACGTAGACCTGTTTCTTCCACATGTCATCTAAAACCGTACACTGCTCAGGACAGATTTTACAGTCTTTGCATGCTTCCCTCTCTGCCAGAGGGAGACTTCCAGCAATGCCAATAATAATAATAATACAGTAACAGCTTTCCCTCCTGCATCCAAGGGAATACTCTGCTGCAAGTGCAGTGGGAACAGCATCGGGTCCTATGGCTGTGTGTGGGAAAGAGGAAAGTGCAGTGGCAGAGTAAATAACTAAAGCTGTGAAGGAGAAAAGTCCATCTGTTCAGAGGACCACGAAAAGGCCAAACATCTGCAAGGTCTCCCCAGTTCACCAGGCAACTGCTCGCTGCTTCCCAGTCTAAAAACCTTCCCATTTGTGGGGAGAGTGGAGCCAGCAGCTTATCTGACACACAGGACAGAGTCAGCAGAGCTGGGCTGGGATGCAGTACAGCCAGCTGTCTCCTACTGCAAAGAAAAAGTGTTTTCTTCCAAACTCTAGAAAAGGACTCTTCTCTATTTTTGTCCTTTGCTGCTTTTCTGAAAAATCTTGCCAATGTTTTTTTTCCTTCAGGAGAAACAGATCTTCCAAGGGGGCAAAATGCTATTTGTTTTGTGTTTGTTCTAACCATCATCGTTTTCCCCTTCTGTTACATCAATTGTTACTTTTCCCTTCTGTTGATGCACAAACCCTGTCCCTTTCCCTGTCTCATCCCCTTCAATACATTCTCTACTTCGATTTTTTCTGAGGTGTTTTGAAGGGTTGTAATAAAGCAAGAGTGTCTGACTAATGTGCTGTGCAGGGAGATGAGTCTTTGGCATCCGAGCCAGGACTAACTGGAGAAACATCATCTGAAGTGTGTTCTTTGGGAAGTATGTGTCCGCTGGAGTTGAATTTGTTTGCAAAATCACATTGGTTGGAGGGTCATTTTCAGAGCAAAGGAGAAAAGTTTACTTAGCACTCAAACATCCCAGCATTTTTTAGAACCAAACACCAAGCTATTAATTTCAAAATATTTCTTCTTTTCTTTTTACTCGGTATTGTATTTCATATGATTTGAAATAAAAAGATTGGATTAATTATAGGGCAAAGAGGAGGATACTGCAGATGTTATTGGACATAATTTTTTTTTAAATCAATCTTGAACTCTATAATATCATGAGCCAGTAGGTTTCGTGGGATTTTATGTATTGGAGCAACATTGGTTGTCTTAAATTAGTTTTCAGTGTGGTGTTTTCAATCTGTCTTTGTGCATCTGTATTTAGGATGATAGTTTCTTAGGGATTCAGAGAAGGTTTTTTTGAGTCCTGTCCATGCTCACTTTGGGGAAAATGGGAAGAAATTACTTTCCTGGGAAATAAGATCCATGGAAGTCGTAGGGGGAGTTTGTGCCTTTTGAATAGAAGAGCTTCCCAGGGCTGCAGACCCATCTGCTTCCCACAGCAAACAGTATGAAGGTGCCATGCTGGCAGTGCTGCCCAGCTGGTGCCTGTGCCTGGGGTGGACTGCCTGCGGATTTGAAGGCAGAGGCCTGTGGGTCACGGGGGTCGAGCTTGGCACCTCTTCGAGCAGTTTAGAGCCTGCTCCTTGGGTATTTGGGGATCGCCTGTAGGTGGGAGGTTGTGTAGCACATGGAGATGTGGAGGGTCAAGTAGGAACCCCATGTTTCCTCCCAAAAGTGTTAAAACACTCCAAAAGCAACAGTTCCTATATACATGAAATATCCCACTTTTATTCATCTTGAACTTCCATCTCAAATGTTGCCCACAGGAGAGTCAACAGCAAACAGCTCTACTTGCAGCATCAAGCTTTATGAGAAGAAACAAAAATAGACCAAAGTGATTCAAACTACAGGCAGCTGCCTCCCCAGGAGCCAAATCCAGTGCTAATGGCAAACACCCTTTTTTTCCACTCTTAGGAGGTGCTTTCAGAGCCTGGTGTTCTGCTGCCTGCAGCCTGTGCTACTCTGTCCTTGTTTTCTCCTTTGTGCTCCCACCTTCCACGAAGTTCTCAGAGAGGTCTCCCACCTCTATGCTAAGCCGAATGGCTTCACAGCCAATATGCTGCTTTGTCTTCACATCAGCACTTTTGGAAGTTTGATGAGCAGATTAAAGTGTAGATATTTTGTACATCAGTCCTGTGTAAAAAAGCCTCCTCAAAGTTAAAAGATGTGGATGCTTCTGAGCCTGGAACTGGCCCATCACATGGCTGTTGTCACTGAGAAGAGCCTGTGATCTTCCCAGCAGTCCTTTTCATGAAGTTATGAGGTCCCTATAGGAAGAGGCATGTGCAAAGAGAGTGGCTGCCTCCCAACAACAGGGATGCAGGAGATGGGCTGGTCTAGATTTTGAGCTCCTGCTTTTAGACAGCATCTGATGCTGTCTTTATAGTAATCAAGAAGAACTGGCATAATTTAGCACACAATAGCGAGTGAGTTGGATCGGATTCATCGCAAGACTGGACACGGGGTGTTCATTATTTTAAGTTTTGTAGTTGCCTGCGGCAGGTTTGAGATGCAAGCTTTCATCTGTGGAGCTGGTTGTTGGTGCCTTCAGGCTTTGTAGCAAGTCACCTTCTGCTGTGGGGTCTGAGCACCTCTAAGCCATCTGCCAAAGCTGCTGAGCTGTTGTAGCCATCTCCTGAAGCAGTGAGGGATGCAGCTGAGCATTTAATGGTTAAGCATTGTGTTACTTTCCATGCCACAAAACCGATGGCAGAGCTGTGAGTATTGCAGGGTTCATCCTGATCATCCGTGTCATGATGTGGGGAAATGCTGGTGAGTCTAAGTTCTCCCATTCTCTCTCCTAGGGGACTTTCTTCCTCCACCCCCACCTCCTGTGGATGACCTCGGGAACATCACGTCATCACAAGGTGCCTTCCCCCCCCCACCCCCGCTGGATGATGTTACTTTCAATGTGCAGGTAAGAAGACCAAGAGTTTTATTTTTTGTGCAGAACTGGTCCAAAAATTGTGGAAATGAATGAATGGTAATAAAATGAGGTGACAAAGTGCTGTAGTTAGAAATCACGTGTCAGGAACGACCAAGTCATCTTTAGCAAGCAGCGTTTCCCAAGTAGGGAATATTTCCATTCAAAACTTGCTGGGCTGTTAAAGGATTTTTCCCATCCGGCTTGAATTAGAAGACTATTTGCCTTGTGTCCTTGTGATGGTGGATGGGAGTGAAACCTTCCCAGAATGAATTGTTTTCTGGAAGGGCGATCTCCTTCCATGGACTGTGGAGAGACTCTAGGGCAGTAATCTGATCCTAAAAGTGCTTTGTTTAGCTGCCTAAAATTAAGTGAAGCAAATAAGCCCTGGCCCAGGCTCCAGTGATGTCACTGAGACCCTTTTCACCCTCTTTTTGCTGGCTTGGTTCTTCTAGACTTGTCATCTGGATGAAAGTGCAAGTTATAAGATGCCTCAGGTGTTGCTGGCATGCCCTGTATGGATAGGGACATACCTTGAAAAACCTTTGAAAGGTATGAACACCTTTGTGCAGACATCACCAGCTTGCCTGGAGTGCCGGCTACTGTTGTGTTAGCTCAGGCACATTCAGGAGAGATGCATTCAGACTGCAGGACAGGCTGTCAAGGTGTTCAAGGAGTAAGGAGCTGATCTTGCCAGTGGAGACCAGAAAAGTTTGGCTTGTTAGCTGAGCAAAAGGAAAGCTGAGGGAGGGGATGTGCTTGCAAATTTGGAATACGTTTGGGGAATAAGCACTGGAGTGAAGAACTATTTCATCTCTGTGTGAGTGTTGGTGTAGGAACAGGAGAGCCTGAGATTGCCAGAAGTATCTTCCTGCTGGTGTTTAGAAAGTTTCTAAACACTGAGGCTGTGAAGGTCTGGAAGAGCCTTTGTGGGAGGAGTAGTGAGAACAAAGCAAGCCTGATCTAGGTTTGAGGCTGGTGAGAGTTCTGTAACCACATATCCACAGCCATGGGGCTGCCCTTGATGACCCTGGAAGGCTGTGGCAGTCCTGTGTCCCTCAATGGGTTTGAACCTTAGAATAGGCTAGCGGGCAGACATTAAACAGGATTCGAGAGACCTGACTTAGTTCCTGACCCTGCAAAAAACTCTCGTCAATTTATCTACTTTGTGCCTCTGTAAAAAGAAAGTGTTTCCCTCCCTTGTGGGCTTCCTGTGATCTCTTGCCTGTGGCAGGATGTTCAGATGTTATCACAAAGTCTCAGCATGTTTCTGCGATGGCTTCAGCATTATAAGCAGCCTTCGAGAGGGAAGGGGTTAATGAGGGTTGCTTTCTCCCTTGCCAGGAAAGGCTGCAGCCATCAGGGACATTAGCCAAGTGCAGAACATGGCTTTTTCCAGCCTTGGGGGAATGAAGTAATTCCCCAGTAAGTGTTGTTCTGTCTTTTATCTCTCTGAGAAGAGTGGACCCCGTGGGAGCAGGGGAGCTTCCAGACTGCCCTGGGAAGCAGCGGAGCAGCAGGCTTCTGGCAAGGGCTGGGCACTGCCTGCACGGCTGCCCGGGCAGCGAAGGGGTCATGGCACCTCACGTGCTTCTCTGGGGTCAGGCTTCCCACTTGCCAGGTTGCCTGAGGAGGGGACCTTGCCGTGTTTCTTGGAAGGGACTCATTTCTTCAGCTCCTCATGCCTCCCTCCTGCAGTGGGTCCAAAGATGTGCCTGAGCCGCTTGGGGCTGTCACTGGGACGTGCCCTGTAGGAGAACCACCCGATGGGATGGCTCTTCCCCACTGGGCTCATGAAATTGCTATTTGTCACACCCTTTCTCTCTTCTTTGGGAAGCTGGGGCTGGGGCTGGAGCTGTGTTCACAGCACGTTGGGTTTAGGCAGGAGCCTGGTTAGAGAGGGCATCCTTCGCGTGGCATCCCGTTTGGAGGAAGGCGAGCCTACCAGTCATACCCCAGCACTCCTGCTGTTGTTACCCCCAGATGTACTCTACACGGCAAACACAGGTCCCTGCCTTTCATCTGTACCTTTTGCCCTTTCTTTTCTCTTCCATCCTCTGAGGGAGATCAGGAGCAGATGAAGTCCAGGGCTAAGTCAGGAGCCAGCAGGGTCTTGTGTTGCAAGATCAGCTCCTTATCTTGCAGGAGCAGCAAAAGCCTTGCTGAAGCAAGATGTAAAGCTAGAGAGACGAGGAAAAAAAGGCAGGTGGCGATGGAGGAAGCTGCTCGATGCCTTTCTGCATTGAACACAGTCATTTTCACAACTCCAGACAGAGGTTCCCATGCTGAAGGGACAGAACGAATGGTGGCTGTGTTCCTTCTGCTGTGAATCCTTTCTCAGCTTGTGGGACATGGTTGCCTGAAAGCAGGGATTTCATGAGCATGTGTTGGATCAGGCCTCAACAAACTAAAGCTGAGCCCAATTCTGCTCTCCAGTGCCAGGCCACTTCCATTTCCATGCCTCAGTTTCCCCTTTGCTAAATGTAAGTGCTGGAGCAGATGCTCCCCTTCCTGAGCATGGACCAGATCTGAGATTGCTGCCTGCTGTGGTTCAGCCCCTGCGGACCTGGTGTGAGACCTCCAGATTTACACCAGAGTTTGAAATTTATCTGCTCCAGCAAATCAGTCCTTTTACTACAGAAATTTCTCTCTGGATAGCAGAATGCTGATGACAGCTTATGAAATATGTGTGCTGTGGCTCCAGGTAGAGCTTTTTGTACTAGATGTTAAGTTGATGAGGGCAGCAGAATATATATATATTTTGTTTATTACCATTTCATGCATTGCTGTTAGCAGATGGCTACAAATTGCACAGATTATTACAGTTTAAGTTGTAGCTTAGGAGCAGCAGTTAAAATAATAATAATGCCCAGTTTTCATAGGCCTGTTTATCTCTGGATCTCTATTTGGACAGTGGAACTGGCCACTTAGGATCAGATCCAAAAAGGTACTTTAGTATCTCGCTTCCCTTGAGGTGCTTATGCTCTGATGGAAATCAGAGGACTGGGTTGCGAAATACCTTTGCAGTAGATCTGGCATTTTCTTGTAACTTCTTTTTTCCCATCTAGATCCATCATATTCAGATTCACAGCAGGGCTGGGGAGGAAAGGAGGAAGAAATTTAAATTTTTTTCTTACTAACTGTAATGCTTTAAAAAAATACAATAAAAGGAAATGTTTATTTTCAAAAAGAGTATGTTGGGGCTGGGGGAGAGCTGTGTTGGGAAGTTCCCCTTCAGCTGAAGTCAGCCGGCGAAGGCAAGGGCTTGTTCCCAGAATGGTGGTGAGGGCGCGGCGATGGCGTGTTTGACAAATAAGGACATGAGCAAAGAGCCTTTTGCCACGTTGGCTTGGGCTCAGCTTAAAAGAGAGAAAAAAAAATCCTGGACGGGAAGAAAAATGAAATCACTGTTTGTCAAAGGGAAATAGATAGATCTGGGAGGGAGGGAGACAGATTTTTTTTTTAATTTTTTTTTTTGCCTTCTAGTTTCAAAACAGGCATTCTGCCCAGGCCAGGGAAAGCAAAAGTGAAAAACTCTCATAAGCAACCTCTCGAGTGTCCCGTTTGCTCAGAGAGGGACCCTCACTCATAGTACCAGCAATTTCTTCTTTCTCCGCCAGGCAGGGTTGCCCGGGATGAGGACTGTGGTCCCTGCCCTGTGACCTGTCTCCGGGAAGGCTGGTTCTGGAGCTATGTGCGCCACGAGGGGCATCTTGATAAGTCATGTCGTGGGGGCTTCTGATCTCCACTGGCTTTGAAATGATCCCTTCTTAAAGGAGGGGTTCAGAGCCCAGCATTTTGTGCTGGGGCAGGACCTGGGTGGTTCAGAGCAGATGAGACCCTGAGCAGAGGACCTGCCAGGGGCTGCCTTGGAAGAACATGGGTTTACAAATTGCTGCTACATACCTACAGGTGCTGCACCTGCAGTACGGATCTGATTTTCATTTGGGACCCTAGGTGCTACTTCAACACAGAAAGAGAGGATTGTATTCAGCTGGGAGATCACCTCTTTCCCAGCAACCCCTGGCTGTTATCAGTGAGGTTTTTTTATTGGCAGGCCACAAAACACTTTACAAAAGAAATACCAGTCTCTCCCTGATAAGGAAGATGAAGGAGGGACAGCATTTTCCCTAGGTCACCAGGCTAAAAATAGGACCTAGATCTCCTGCATCCCAGAGCAATTCTGTCTGCTACATCACACTGCTTCGTTACTGTAAGAACTGCAAATTAATGAGTAAACACCATCAGCAACTGAAAACTGAAAGAATTTGGGATTTACGTTGTTCAGAAGTGGTTTAGGATGGGGGTCAGAGTGAAGAAACAATCAGGTGTTGAACAGTTGCGTGAAGTACAATATAAAATAGTTTTTATAGCTCGTGTTATAACCACCTGTGCATGCAGGGGCTGCAGTGCTGCAGCTACCGGGGCAGGGAACTGTTCCCATGTTCAGACCTACCGGACTCACTGGTTGTATCATCCTGCTGCAATACGCAGAAAATCAGCCAAAGGGCTCAAATTCCTATTGCCAAGAAATTTTGGAAGGAGAAATGCCGAACCATGGTCTGAAGGCATCTGTGTCTTTCTCTGTGAGGTTGTTCAGAGGAGACCCGGCTCGCTTCTACCTAGTGCTCACGCCTGGGAGAAGGTGGGAATGTGTTAATAGATGTGAGCAGCAAGAGCCTCCTGCTTGTTTTGGAGGAGGTTGCCAGGCATTTCACTGTCTGACTCCCTCCCAGCAAGCAGTGGCGGTGGTGCCTCTTTGTGGGCTGTGACTCACCGGCTAAGGAAACAGCCAGAATGGAGGAAATTTTTTTTTTTTTTTTTTTTTAAACAAATATTTGGGAGGGAAGAGCATGATTTTTGCCTACAGGGGGTGCTGCCTTAAACAGCGCATCTGCCGGGTGGCGTGGCGGCTGGGCTCTGCCTGGATGCTGGGCTTGCTTTAAATCGCCTGCCTTTTAATGTTCAGGGAAGCTGGAAAGGGCAAAGAGAGC